ACCGCTCTTATTATGTAAATGAAGTAAGGTTAAAAAATAACAAAATTGGTTAAACTCTCATCCCTCCATACATTACATATATTATATTATACAAAATAAAAATAAATAAATATATATATATATATAGATATATATATATACACACATATAATATTAAATATTTTTGAAGGGTATAATAAAAATATATTATATAATATTAATTTATATAGTAATGTTATATTCATATATTAATTTATATTATAAATTTGCATTCAAAATTTTATATTATGTATAATTATATTAATTTTGATGTTAATTTAAAGTATGTTATTAACTTGTACAAAAAGAAAAGAGTATATTATTAACTAAAATAAGAAAAAAATAATATTTAATTTTAAAAAGTTGGATAATAATTATAATTTTAAGTAACTACATAAATAAAAAAATATATATTTTGTATTATAAAGTAAATCATATCATTTTTAATTTTAATTTTTTAAAACTATTAAATTAAAACTTATTTTTAAAAAATTTATATGCAATTTAATTGAAAAAAATAATTTTTTTTATTTAAACATAATTTATATCATATCTTATTGATTTATGTTAAATACAAGACATATAATATAATAATATTATTTGATTTTTTTATCTTAATGTCTACCAAATATTGTATAAGATTCAAATTTATCATACTCATACTCGTATCATCTGCTATTCTTATTTTATCTTATTCTCACATATTCTATTATGATCATCAAATGACCTATATACATTGTGTATTAATTTTGTTATAAGATAAAAAGTTTGTAGACAATTTTTTTTACAATATTAATTAATTATTTTAGTTTAAAATGTAAATATAATCCAATTTAAACTAACTTATATTTTTACCATTCATTAAAAGGAAGAAAATAAACTTCAAACTATAATTTAAAAATTTAATTAGAATATACTCGCATAGTAAAAATATTTTGTATTTTAATGTAATCACATATTTGCGTACATCGTAAGATTGTTAATAACAATAATTACTTAAAAATTAAGAGTAATACATGATTTTTAATTGGTCAACTATGTAGAATTCTTTATTAACTGTATAAAAATTAAACTCTTGAAATTGATCCTTCTTTAAAAAAAATTGATCCAATATAACTGAGCCAAATAATAATAATAATAATAATAAGCTAGTAAAATATTAATCATATTTATTGAAGAATCACCACATTAAATTGCAAGTCAAACTTAATTTGTTAAGGATGTGAATGTTTTATATACTATATGTTTCAAGTCAAACTTGTATTTAGTGTTTTGATTATAAAATTTAATGTGATGATACTTTAATTTTTTAGTTTACTTACTTTTTTGAATTGTGTTTCCATTTTCAATACTCTTCATATCATGGTAACAAAGATTTTTTAACCCAACCCTGCGAAAAATGAGCAATACGTTCTCACTATAGCAGCATGTGTGGTTTATATATTATACAGTATATGTTTTTAATGAACCAGTAATAACACTATTGAATTGAGCGAGAATTTTGCAAGTTATGTTTGTTTGAGGGAGTGATTGTAAAACTGATTTTTGTAAATTAATTTCATTAATTAAGAGTTATTTTTAAGTAAAGAGTTTAATCAATGAACACTTTTAAGTAAAACACGAAAACTCTATTATCTAACGTATAAAGTAAATATTAAAGCTGCTTTAACTTAGAAATTTGACGATAATTGATATATATTTTACAGTGACTTTGAATAAAAAAGATGAATCAACAAATTGATTGATTCACGCAAGGTGGTGTAACTGCTACTTACGTTATTACCCGAAATTAGCGTACGAGTTGAACAAGAAGAAAAAACAAAGACGAGAAAGTTAACGTTAAAATGCGAAACTGGATGGAGCATGGATGTTCCAAATTGAGGAAAGCGAAGTTGATTAATTGAATGATACATTTGTACAGAAAAAAGAATGTAAAGAATAGAGAAATGATGAGAAGTTAGAATAAGGAAAGATCGACCCTAGGTGCCTTGTTTCCAAACAACAACTTGAGATCATTTTCCAAAGGCGTCAAGTTGAGATCCAAGTCCAAGCAAAGCACCCTCTTGCTGTTGGACCGTTTCAGAACCGGAACTTTCTCGATGACGCCTTCGTTGTTATCAGCGACGGCACCTCTGTGCTTTCTCATGTGCCCACCCAGGGCCTGGCCCAAAGCGAACTCCATGCCGCAGATGGAGCACTCGTGCATTTTGGGCTGCCTCCTCGGGCCCTTCTCCTCTTCCGCTTCCAACCTGGGCTTCTTGTGGCTGGCCCGGTGGCCGCCGAGGGCCTGGAACGACGAGAACTTGCGCTTGCATGTCTTGCACTCGAACTCCGCCGGAGCCAAAGTGTCGAGCAGAGGTTTTTTGGTTTGAGAAAGTAGCATCAGACTCTGTGCCAACTCTATGCTCTCTCTCTCTCTCTCTCTCTTCAACGTTGCTACTGCCATCTTCTGTCTTGTCTTGTGTGTTACTGAGGAACGCTTAACCTCACATCCACTATTTATAGCCACTTGTCTTGTGGTTCAAGTCAAAGGACGACATTGCGTTCCTCTTCACCTTCTAAACCAAGTTACGAAACTCCCTTTTGTTTACTCAAACATATTGTATAATCGCTTTCACTTTTTCACTTTTTCCCAATTACGTTAATACCCTCGCTCCTTGCGTAATTGCTTACCTCTACTTCGCACTTTCTAGTTTCTACTTGTTCGGTGAAATGAAACTTTCTTTTTTCTCTTTATAAATATTTTTTTCTTTTGTAAAGTGAGTCAAATATTAATACAACAGATTAAAAATATAAATTAATTAAAATATTATTAAATATTATTTATCATGTTATTTACTTAATATCAAATGTAATCAATCATATAATTTCAACATCAATAAACAAATATTTAATAATTAAATCATAATTATAAATTTTATAAAATTGAGGGATTAGAATCGTTTTCTTTTTCTTTTCAAAAAGTGTAATTTAACATAATGAAGTAAAGTTGTTTGTAAAACATATTTTATGTTAGTTTTATTGACCACGTCAGATTTGACGCACACGCGTTGCTCAATACTAGTTTACGATGAGTTCACACAGCAGTCGCGTGGTCACAGCGTTTTGGATGGGTGAACCACCGAGTGAAATGGAAGGTCCGTGAGCACCAAGTTAAGCAGATCCATGAAGCTTCCGTTTTTTGGCGAGAATACTCCAGTAGTTTCTTGTATAAAGTTTTTTTTTTTATTTTTTTTATGATGTTTCTTGTATAAAGTTGATATAGTGTAGAAGTGCATGCATGTTACGTGGGTTAGGAACTTTCTGTCTTCGTTCAACACAGACTGCGGTATAGTGTACAAGCTTTTCGTTGTCAGGAAATAAGGCATGCTTTTCTTGGTAAGGGAGGAAATGGTTTTTTGATTATGTGGGTAGTAGCAAAAACATGTTTTTCTTTGTTTGAGACATTCAGCCGCCGGTTATATTCGATGTAACTCTGTTGAAACATTCTCCCAAGGAGAATATTAGCTAGTGGAGCTCCTTCACACGTCACACCTAGTAGATTAATATAAAGGGCAGAAAAAATTTCTAGAATTCAAGTATCAGAGTATTCAAACATGTTTTTAAATTTTGCTAGTGGTGGATGTAGCTGCAAGTAAAAGTTGTTGACAATTAAAAATATAAAGAGAAAGAGAAGCGGCCGCACGTACTTGGAGAAGTGAAATTTCTTCGCAAGTCAAATGGGAAAAAGGAAAAGCGAATTTTGAAAAAAAAAAAAAAAAGTGATGAATAATACCATACTGCAATGTAAAACCGTGATGATACCGACAGTTTTTGCGTACTTAGAAAATTCGAATAGAAGTTTCCAAAATATAAGAATATTATTATGCGTTGAGGATTATAGAAAAATGGAGAAATACAAACTACAAACAGATTTGCGTGCAGAAGCACACCTCAACTGATTAGAAAATTCAAATAGAATTTCTACACTAGTTCGATCGTTGATCATACAAGCTTACACTGCTTCAACTACCTAATTATAATTGGATGAGCCAAGTTGGTACGTATGATTGTACGTCATCATACTAGAGAGTGGTGCTCATCAAGTGATGAGCTTTGTGGAGTTTTCATACTCAAACTAATTTTCTAATTCACATCTGCAAAAGGAGTTCGATTTGGAGTTGCACGCGGGATTTTGCTTTCTTCTTGGATCAGTTTTAACGAGTTCTCGGTGAATTTGTCTCCTGGGATCAGTGTTCTCATCTCATCAAAAGATGCCGGGCTGGGAACTGATACAATTCTTTTCTGAGATGTTACACTTGCATTCTGGTCAACCTTTTCATAAAAAGAAGAACAAGCTTAATTAAAAAGCTGTCTAATTCACAAGATAATAAAACTCCAAAGTATAAAACATGTATGTTTGATATCTTTAACAAGAAAAAGCATATACCAAATAATCTTTAACGAGGCATTTTTCTGCATGAACATGGATATTTGATACATCTTCACCATGTTTATTTCGTAACGAGTTAAGCTGCTCCACCCACTTTGTAGTCATGGAATCAATTTCCTTCTTATTCTCTTGGTCCATCAACAGTGCGCCTGGAAATAACACAAGTTTGTATTGAAACAGTCCAAACAGACAAGAAACTAATAAAATGGGAATGAACTATATTATTTACCATTTACATCTGCCAGCACATTCCGTGTTACTGCATCATAATCTGAATCCATAGATAATGATGCAGACACAAATTCTTGATTCAGAGCATGATTCGTCGAGATGTTTTCCCTGTTACACATTAATAGAAGTTAAAAACATTATAACTTAACTAATTCATTAAGAACAAGTCTCTGGCATTAACTAGCAAAACTTACTTCACTGTAGATTCTATCTCTGAAAGATTGTTCTTGTGGAGATTACAGAATGACAAGTTGGCACTTTCCCACTGCTTCCTAGAATAGTCCACTGTCTTTGAACTGCATAGCATTATAAAAATACGTTAGCAAATAACTAAAACTCTTTTATTTGGAAGCCTTAAAAAGCTTTGTAATATTACATTATTACTCCCACCCATTGTCATCATCATCCCCAACAAAAGTGTTTGTCTTGTTGTATATGATATTTTGGATATTTTTAACAAATTCAAATCAATATTAAATAATTTTCTGCATAGGTTCTTATAGGTGGCATAGTTTAAACAGTTTTATACTTCAATAAGAGCAAGATGAAGAGAACACAAAACAAACAAAAACTCACCACTCTAGGAGGCAAGCCTCCATGTTAGCTTTAATATCACTGGCCGAAAATACTTGATCCACAAAATGACTTTGCACATTCTCCACATACTTGTGAACTTCCTTAGAACCATATTTTGAAACTTGCTGCATGTTGAGCATCTCTAGCTGCAATCTCTTGGACTGTTGCATGCTTGTGTCTTGTATGTGTCTTGATGCCTCGGAGACCTAATTTTCCAAAAGTCAACGATCCTATTCTTAATACACAACATGTGCAACACCAGAAAGAAAATGAAACAGAAAAATAATGCACTCGACTGAAACAGAAAAATAATGCACTCGACTGACCATAGCAGTCCTCTTAGAAGTTAAGGATGCCAAAATTGTTGCAATATGCTCTAAGGCCTGCCCCTCCTCTCTCTCAACCTCTTCCTGATTAAGGTTAAACGAAAAAAATCAATCACGAGTCTTAAATTAGAGTTCAGGGTGCAGGTAGTAGCTTAATATTCGAATACCTTGAACTTCTTCTCAAAGTTAGCTAACTGATGGAACCTCTCATTTTGAGTTTCTTCTAGAATTTCCATGACTCTAGAAGAACGTAGATGGATGTCATCGAAGAAGTTTACAGCTGCCTCTGAAACTACTCGTGCCGAAGTCAAACTTTGTTGTAATCCCTACATTGGTTCGTGAAGTTTATTATAATTGCATGATTACAACTATAGGTCTAATATTTTTATCAAAAAGAAAACAAACCAAAACAAAAAAGTAACAAATGAAACATACCTGCTCTTGTTGTTGAAGGGAGAATGCTAGCAGCTGTTTTTGCTCATCAAGAGAATTCTGGATGTTGCATATTACATCTTTGGCTTCATGAATAGCAGTGGCAAGAAACTGCAAGGGGCACAGCATAATCAACTTTAGATAGGAGCATAGAACGATTAGGCATGATTTTGACTCAATGAGACTTGAAACTAAGAAAGAAACAACTAAAATTTCTTGACGTTTTACATTTTCAACGGCCAATGTTTGCGACGAAACTTTAGATTGTATCTGTTCCATATCAGATGAAGCTTTCATGTGCAATGTATTGGCTAGCTCCTTCAGGGTCTCTACCCCTGAAGTGTAGATTCCTGTCATCTTCTTGATCCTTGATTCTAGTGTTTGTGCAGCCTGAAAAAAGATCATCATAAATCAATTATGGGTGGACACGTGGCAAACATAACTGATACCGAAACAAGATTTCTTTGTTTGTATTACATCACTTTTACTGGCAAGATAGGAGCTGACATGATCTTCCATGCTTCTAAGTTGTTTCTTTTGTTGAGAAACAGATCCCATAATGGTCGTATGCAAGTCCTTCAAGCTCTCATTTAAGAGAGATCCAAAATTCAAAATTGTTTTTTGATTTTCTGCCTCCATTCTTTCTTTGTGATCTGCAAGAATAATAATAATATAGCTCAGAAGAAAAATAAAAAATATACGATGTGCACTAACAAATCAATTTCAACCTGTTGAAATCTTGCCATTTGAATTATTCAACAAAAAAACTTATTCAACAATGTATTCGTGCTACACAGTATCTCAGCCTCTCTTTCATCTCATTTTTCTCTCTCCCTCTCTTCTTTTTTTCTTTTCTTTTTTCTCTTTCTGTTATTCCTCTCTTCCTCCCACTTCCTACACCCGAAAGTGGGGTGTACAGTTCCTTTCAGAAACATATCGTTTTCTAAAACAAATAACACGTGATGAGGTGTCCTCAAATTCATTTTTCACCTCTCATGAAGCACATTTCTTATGTAAGATTACTCTTGAACTGGAACAAAGAAACATACCCAACGTTGAGGACAGTAACTTAATATCATCCGATGCATTCTGCAGATCAGTACACATTTCTTTTGCACGCTCAATCAAGGCATTTTCTGTTTACAAAGAAAGTAAAGCAAAATCACATAGTGAATTAAAAACATCATAAATCTTCCATCTGTTTACACAAAGTAAAAGCAAATCACGGTGAATTGAATAAAAACAGCATAAACAATCTACTAATTTACCTGATTTCAGTAGCTTGGAAATGGTGCATTCCTTCTCCTTCAGGGTTGAAACGGCTAAATTGTAACTCCCTTGGAGATCATGCAAGGTATTGCTGGTTTTTTCCAAGTTCACCTAAAAGAATATTTTAAATTGAGAGGCAATATTCTGAAAGGATAAATTACGAAGGAAAAGGTTCTAGTTGGTTAGACAATGCACCTTGCAATCCTTAAGCTCGCTTTCTACATCCAGTTTCTGTTCCTGCTCTGCTAAATAGAGCT